GAAGTAAAGAGTGGAGGTGGAGGTTGAACGGCTTTTGAACAGCAGAAGAAATGTTGCTGGTGTATTTACTGTTTGTCAGCTAAGAATGAGAGCCGTCAGTTCTCCATCCAGTACTATAAGCCACAACAAGGAATATTTTCAGTTTGATAGCTGACAGGGATTGTGAGGATGAAGGGCGACCCTTGGATGATGATGTCCTCTCACAGGGGTGCACCCTTTGGTTTCCTAACCAGGAAGAGAGCATAGCCAGTGGGTAACATTTAAGCAACAGGGTATTACGCCCAGGATAACTGGATCTCAGGTTGTTCTATTTATCAGTTGCCCTCTGGTCCAGAGGGCTGAAATTCCAAATTTTCCAAGAATGAGTTCAGGTCTACAGCAGAAATAGAGCTCAGGGCAACACATCTGTCCAATTTACCCAACAAGTGAAGCCCTAAATATCAGTGTGTCTGTCTGTTGCCCAGAGGCCTGAATGGTGAGGTTGGCCCTTAGTTTACAGACTAGTAGCCTTGAGTGTGCCCCTTCTGGCTGTCTTGGCCAGCTAGGGTACATCAGCACAATAGCAGTTAACACCTAGCCAGGTGCCAGGCTGCATCACAGTGATATCAATTCATTAATCAAGCAAATGTCTGGTTTTGCAGCCAGTGAACCTATGTTAATCACCAAAGATAAGCATGTGCAAAAGCCTTACTTACTTTGGATAAAAATTGTGCACCCATGAGAGGAGAAGATAAATGTCCTTGTCTTCCAGATGAGACTCAGCACTTTTCTTTGTCTGGGAGGCAAAATAATTGTGGTAGAGTTCTGCATATATGCTGAACACATTAAACTCAGGAGGATAAAGCTGTTTAATGTACTTCACAACTACTGTCAAATCCTCTTTCATTGTCTTTCCCATGTGCAGGAGATTCTGGCCAACTGCAGAGAGGTTCTCAGCTCTAGGAGTACGCCTTGTGTCCTTCATTCGAGTCTCTACTGACTCCTTTACTGTAGCCATCCAAAGCTCTTTCCATTTTCTAGGTCTAAATGGCATATTTGGGTCAGGTGGATTCTCTGCCATGTAGTTCTGATCTTCTTTCTCCTGCTCTTTCAGTGCCTCTACTGCCTGCTGCAGCAGATCTGGGTTTGTTTTCGCTAGCAGTATGGAGTCTTTCAAGATGCCGAAGACTTTGTAATTCAGAACTTCGTATATGGACTCAACATCTTGCTGGCTGGTGTTCAGTCCCTCCTCACTTTTGCTAGACAGGCTCTTCTGCAGGACAATCAGATGCTGAGTGGCTTCGCAAAGCTTCTGCTCTTCAAGGAGATCCATGATTTTTTTGACTGGTGACAAAAGAACAGTGAAGTTTTAAATTTCTGTTTTATAAAAACAATGGCTCTGGAATACTTTTTTTGAAAAATGATTATATTTCTATGATACTAGATCTTAGGCTCTTTCACCGTATAGAAAATCTTTCTGGTTATTTAAAGATCAGGTTTTTTTCTAGATTGTCTCTAACTGGAGCAATGGAAATGTGAATACCCATCACTAGTGTGTTACGTATGGACAGCTATTCATGAGCTACCTGTAACTGTTTCCAAAATTTAGATTTGTGAAGTTCTATTTATTTATTTATTATCCCCTTTCCCATTAATATGATTGTAAGTCGGAAGCATGGTTTTAGGAAAAATGCAGATGGCAAGATGTAGCTAAATGAGATGTGCTAGAGGAAATATCACACAGGTTTTCCAGAAATAGGTGGGCACAATCTGACCTGTGAAATATTTTTGTAGGACGCATTTAGCGGGCAATATAAATACAATTGAACTGTCTTAGTGGAACTACAGCTTCTCAATATGGCACAATCTGGGAAGTTATGGAGAAGTTATATCCCAAAACAAGTTTTGTTAGGTGTGTAAGGTTTTTATGGAAAACCCTGGGTGAAGAAACCTTATATTATTAACAAAACACACCTTACTTCATATTCTCCTCAGAGACTGTGGCACAAAAGCTGGGAGTGCCCTGCTGGCATCTGTTGATTACAAAAAGTTCAGACATCATCGAAACTGAGGGCTTAGTGTATTATACAGGAACAAGAAGATAACTTGAATAGTAAATGGGCTGAAATTTAATAGCACAAAGTTTAAGATACAAATTCAATAGAACAAAAGGTACTTGACAACAAATAGTATTTTTGCTGCAAGCTGGATGTGAATCAGCTTGAGATGGAGGAAGAAGAGAGATGCCTGGAGAATTAGTAACCATCATTATTGTGAGATGATGGTGAAAATGTCATATATGACCCCAGGATGTATATAGTGAGGAATGTCCAGCTGAGATAGGAAAATAGTAACATACTGTACCAGGCATCGGTGGTATCTCATCTGGAATATTTTCTGCTTTATTTCAAAAAAGACATTGGGAATGGAGCAGTGCAGCAGTAAGAAGAAAGGCAGGAAGGAGCTGTTTTCAGTAGACTTGGTTCTTTAGTTGAGCAAATTCAAGGTACAGCTCACTAAGTTTATGAACCGGTTAACAAGATACATCATCTGAGGTGGTAGGTGAGACTTGGAAGTGCCAAGGGGCACCTTCCTCTGCAGTTCTGGGTTTCTCTGAGCACATATTGTGACTCGAGGACAGGTCAGCCCCAAGAAAGACCTATGCATGCTGCTCACTGCTGTCCTTGGGGAAAGAGGAGATTGCACAGGGTGGTGGTTTCATGGAGGAACAGAGCAGAGAGGTATGTTTCGGTTTCCTGCCCACCCACAGATCTGTGTGCCACCATGAGAGGTAGAAATAAATTTTGTTTTAGACAGAAAACCCACAAACTGGTGGTTTCTCAAGGAGTATGCCCTTGGCAGCAAGGAACGAGGACTCAAGGTCTCCCTCAGCCCATGCCTCCCCACGCTCCTTGGCCAAGTCACTTGAATCTGTTGGTGCCCTTGTTTCTCAAGGGGATGATTCTCTACCTTGTGCAGTCCCTGTAGAAGTAACTATGGCCTATGAGGTGGTGCAAGGAGGATGGAGGAGCACTTACCACTGGGTGTCTTGATCTTTTTAATTTTCTTAAACGCATTCGTAAAGATTTCCTTTATTCCTTTCTTCCCCTTTTCAGGGCTGTCCCCAGCAGAGGTGCTGCTCCCATTGCTCGCGATGGAAGATGCACGTGAGGCTCTGTAGGCTCCCTCTGGCCTTTCACTCATCTTCTCCTGGTCCCTGGACCAGATCTCGTCTCCAGAACGTTCAGGACAAGCAGGGATTTGCTTAGCTACTGATGTCGAAGGGTTTTCAAGCTGCCTGTCTGCATCAATGCAACCCTCTGATCCATTGCATATTCCAATGGGACCATTTTGGAAAAAAGGTAACATTTTCATCATTTTGCTTCTAGCCTGTAAATTTCAAAAAGAACTGGTCAGATTATAAGAGTTTGCATGAAAAATACCATGACACAATGTGGCAAAGTGTATTCCCATTAACAAAATTAATCCTGGAATGAGTTGTCCATGTGTGGGCAGTGCTACACACATCTGGTATGAGCACAGCTTGGCAGGAGAGCCTCTGAGCAACGTCACCTCAGGTAACTGAGAGGACGGAAGCAGCTCTCTGGTATAACAATAACTTAAGAGAAAATCGATGAGTGATTTTCAGGATGACTCAGATGGCCTGATTTGAGACCTTGAGTTTGTCTGGATACAGGAGAGAAGGGCTCTCCCACGGGATGCAGTGGGAGTACAGACATGAGCATGAATGTTACATGTGAACGATGTGGGAGGGTGGGACAAGCATCCTGTGCCTATTCAAAGCAACCACAAAACTCCCTTTATATGCTTTATATGGCATTGGGATCAACTCCCACCTTCCTCAGGGCCTGTTTTTGCTGGTCTCTGCTCATCTGGCTGCAGCTGTTTTTGGAAACATCCATGTAGCTTATTGCACATTGAGTTCGCAAGTACAGCATGAAAATGAATTGGGCCTACCAAGCCAGGTATGCATCAGTCTTTGCTGAGCAGAAGTCCTGCTGATTTAACTGTGTCCCCATTTACGTCACTAATAAAATTCTTAGCTTTATTGAGGAGAGCTCACAGAGAAGGTGACTGAGAGTTCAGAAACACTGGGGATGTGAAAAACATGGTTGAAAGGATGGGAGCGTGGGAAGCATAGCAGTATCTCCTGGTATGAGCATTAGGAGGCTTATCACTTTAGGCTCAATAATTCCAGCTTCACTGATCTACATGCTCCCTGCATCACTAAGCAGCAGACAAAAGGTCAGGGATGCATTCAGACCCTTCAAGCCCACTCACAGTCTACATTACCTCATTTTCAAAACAGTCCCAGCATCACTATGGCATCCCAAGACAAAGCAAATTCAGCACAGCTTGTTGCAACTTCAGTGTGACTTGTTGAGTGTTTTCAAATACCCAGGAGCAATTACTGCCCTGTCTCTTTATGTTGAAATGTGGGGCGTGTGCAGAAAGAAATGCTAGTGCAATGGGGTAGAGGAGGGAGAAGGTTCTGATAGCAGGCACTCTGGACTTTTCCCAGAGCTGATAATGAAACTGATGCTAGTGACCAGGGCTGTTGCATGCATATTCAGAGCAGTCCTTGCCTTGCTGAGGGGGAGATAGGAAGGAACAAGGCACGAGGATCAGGGTGGTTTAGCCTTGTTTAAACATTATCCTGCCAGAGTCCTGCTCTACCACTAACGCTCCCACACTACAAATAATTAACGGTAGCAGTTTGTTATTGTAAAAACAGATTTTTAGAGTTTGTATTTAGAATTATTTCTGTACATGTACCATTTAATATATTTCTATAGATTTATTTGCATAATTATATTAATCTTCTAATGGTTATAATTATATAATTATTGTAAATAAATAATTAGACTCATAGTTTACAATCCTTGTTCTAACAACACTTCTTTTTAATTGACTTTCTAGGAGACCAGTGCACTTCTGTACGAAGAACTCTCAGGCAAGTTTTGGCTTACTCATACTGCGTAAGGCAGAGGAATTAAGCTTTAAATAAAGGAAGAATTTCACTTCACTTATAAGGCTACAATGTGGTGATATTCAAATATCCTTGTTAAGTTGATACTGTTGATATGTACCATGCTGATATAAACTCTGACACTTATTTCTGGGCAAAATTGTTGGAAGATTGCGTTTTTTAATTGCAATTCCTCCTGCTGGCTCCCAGCAGCTTGGAGAGCTTTGAAGCATCAAGTTAGTGGTAGCAACTGAGTGGTACATAGAGAAGTTAGAGCCTAGCATGCCTGAATGCTTTCCTTCTCTGTGGTTTGGCTGCCAGGTCATGTTCAGGATTAGTAATGCTACTGATTTTAAAACACAGTGAAGATTAAAACTCATTCAGGAAGTAGAGGAAGAGGGGGGGTGTGTGTGTGTGTGCACGACCTGACTGGCTCTCAGCTAAACGTGTGATCTGGGGCAAAGTGTGAAGCTAAACCTAAAGTGCTCCCACGGCTGAGTGCAGCAGTGCTGGCTGCCAGAGCCTTTGGGTCACTGCATCATGTCACTGCTCAGCAGAGCACTGGTGCCCCAGGGCTATGGGGGCTGGTGACGTGGGTGAGCAAAGGGGGGCCAAGGACCAGAGCTGCCCAGGGGCAGAAAGCCACGGCTGAAGCTATGCTATTTCTTCCCCTAGCACATTTACTGGAGAGGGAGGGAAGGAGAGTGGAAACACCCCCAGGTTTCATTCTGGCTTTTCTAGTCAGGATGCCCCACTAGAATCCTAAAAACAGTGGAAAAAAAGCTTCCTTCTGTTACATTTCCATTACAAAAAATATCATGGCAACAGGGATGCTCTCTAAGTATTTGGGACTTCCCTAATTTTTGTAGGGCTATTTTTCTTGTTTGTATTTCCTGTTATGATGGTGTGTTTAGATTCACTCTGCCAAATCCCTTCCTTCCTGTTTGTTCAGGCACAGACTCAGCTGAGTCCTTTCTCTCTCTCCTATTATTCCAAAGCATTTGTTGTTCCTTTTTTTTTCTCATCAAAGAAAGTACCTTTCCCTTTCTTATAGCCAAAAATGACTTCCAGAGTCTTTTGTTTTGAAGAATAATGATCAGAAAGGTGGATTTCAAAATGGGTTTGCTTCTTCTTCAGTACTAAGATGAATATCGAGTATCTTTGAAAACCACTGAAATGACATTACAAATAAAATAGTCCATAAGAGAATGATTAAGTTCATTAGAAGTTTAGTTTTTAATGGCTGACAGAACTTTGTCCAGACCAGCAGCATAGGAACTGTTGGCAATATTGGTGTGTCAGGGTGTGCTTTTTCAGCTTGAACTAATAAACACCAAAGGAATTAAGCATCTGAGTAAGGCTGTCAGTGTAATATCTGCAGTTGGTACAGTGGCCATGCTCACTCACATGTGGCCAGCTTGAACACTTGCTCAGATTTATGGGTGTGCCACTGCTGGTTTCTGTATGTTTGTATCTGCAGCAGGAAGTATCTGCAGCAGGAAATACCAGGAAACCCCAGCTCTGCCTTGAAAGGCAGCCTCTGTCACTTATGGCAAGTAGTACCAAAAACTCCACCTCCATCTCTTGTCTTTATCATTAGATGGCCAGGCACTTACTATAAGAAACGCCTTGCAGAAACTGCCTTTAACAAACTTTCTTAATAAAACCTCCCCACTTTCTATGAGAAACACCCAGCTAACAGGAGGTGGCACTGGCTATGGCTAGAGGCCACGGGCAGGAGATGCTGTGCCAGCACTGCTCCTTGTGCCCCAATCAGCACCCGCTCCTGCCTGCTGCAGCAGATGGGACATGCCAGGAACTTGGCTCTGGCTTGCATGGCCAAGGCTGCCCCTGTATACCTGTGCTCTGCTCACACATCAGAGCTTGTTAAAACATCAGCAGGCTCCTAATTGTTTTATCAGTTAACACTTTGAGAAATGCCGAATCATTTCTCTGGCACACAGCTCAAGTTCAAATCTTGTGAAATTCAGTGGTTTAAGGTAAAGACTTGACATAGATCCCAACTCACTATTATTACTAATTTGCTGTTAATCTACTGTTATCACCATCATCCTCATTATTATGTGGCAATATAGTCTATGCCAGGGCAATCTTTAGCTCAAATTATTTTTGACGTAGTATATTCAGCTTGTGGTTTCCAACCAGAAAAGCAGCACAGCATGCATAGCATCTATCCAGTGGCAATGTACCATTTGGACAGCAGTGCTGCTGACTGATGGTGTGTCTGGAGAGGGATGCAGCAAGCTCTCCACATGGTACTGACCACAGTGTGTAACCCCAGGTTGGAGCTTTTCCTGTGTGGGCTGCAAAGGTGAGAGAAATACCTGGAGCAGAGCCATGCTGCAGGACACAACCCAGACTCTAGGCACAGCGGCTTTCCTCTTCTCCTTTTCCCCCTCAAAGGAAACATCTTTCATGCCGCACACTTAGGGATGAGCTCATTCGTGAGAGGTGGCTCATACAGTGCCAGAGAGCACTCAGGGGAAGAGATTTACTAATTACCCCTATTCCGAAATGTTTTGCTGATCTTTTCCTGAGCTGCTGCCAGTGTTAATAAGCATTTGTTTGGATTCTTAGTCCTCTCCAGCCTGCTGACATACCACGTCACAAGGATTTATGTCTCGTTTAGTGGAAATCCCCCACTCCCCCACAGCCTCGCAGAAATATAGAATTATTTAGCTAAGTTTATCTCCGCATTTGCATCAGCCTTTTCTCCCCTCTCTTCCCCATGGAAGCGGAGTTACCCCTGCCCACACAAGAAAATCGCACCAGGGCAAGCCATCTTTTGAAGAAGTAAAGCAGTGCAGCCAGTCTGAGCTTAGTGTACCTTAGACTAAGCTCTGACACCTAAAAAATCTCCTAATCAAAGCAAATTGTCTACGGAGATGCCATCACCAATCTTTGCAAATTGGGAAGCCCTCCTAGGACCTGTTTATTTCCTACAAATTTTCATCAGCTGATTGGGTACTGGAAATGAGACACTGTGAAGACAGGGGCTCCCACTTGGCCCTGCCTGAGAAATTGTATTCCACAGACGAGCTAGGACACCAACAGCCCCACCTTGAAATTTTACCATGCCGCTCAAATCCAGGCTCTTGTCCACACATCCTTATGGACACCCATCACCCTGTGTGGTCCAGCACCATCCTGACGGTGGGCCAAGCGCTCCTCCTAATGGGGTCAGAAGCTGAGGGGAAACAAAACCTATGTCTCCAGTAAAGAAGTCAAGGCAGGAGAACAGCCTTCTCAGGGGACTCAATCCATGTGCCTTAGCAGTGCCGGGCTCCCCCATGGGGCTAAGCATGATGGGCAACCCAAGGGGCCTAGGACAATGGCAATGGGTACACAAGGCAGAGGATCCCAGGGC